ACACACACACATATTATATATTATATCATGTTCTATACTATACTACTGTAAATGATACAAAACATTAGATTTCACAAATATATGTATAAAGACTGATCTTGGTATGTCCCATTGGTTGTACAATCACAAAAAATGATAATGTTTATATAGATAAATATTTTAAAACATCTTATATACACCTTGCAATTATTTTTAACTTTTTATTTTAAATAAAAGATGTAAGGTGTAATAAAATATGTTTCAAATAAAAAATATATATATCATTTGTAATTTGCAAATTAATAATTTAAATCAATTAATAAATATTATGTATATATGTGATTTATACATTAGTTATTATCTTTTAAAATATTTTTAGATTTTTTATAAAACATTCCTTTAATTTAATATATATGTATAGCAAATGGGACTATAACTAATAGTAAACAGACAAAATATTCAAGAGGCATTCTATTTTTTGTGATCTGTATTTTTTTAACTCTCGTAGCTTTTTATAAATTTTATAAAAATTTTCGTCCAAAATACAAATGTATAACTTATCAAAAAATTTTGGCCTAATTTTAATGAGAAAAATGATAAAAAATATACCAAATTTTTGATATTTAAATTCAGAAACCAAATTTTTTTTACTTGATACTATATTATATATATATATATATTTACATTAATATAAAAATTAAAATTTTTTATAAACATTAAATTCTCGAAATCGATATGTCTATAATTTATTATTGTTTTATTTTTTTATAATTGTGTAAAAATTTTTTCAATTTAAATTTATTCTCAATATTTTTTTATTATTACACGTTGAAGAAAAAAATACAGAATTTGGCATAATTTCTATGTCTTATAAGAAATATAATTACAAGAAAAAAAAAAGTTTTTTGCAAAGTGCTCAAAAAATTATTAATAAATAATGTGTTCTATATTAAGAAATAATGCATATTATTGCCTGGGAATATTTCAATTTATAATATTGTACCAGGCCTATTCTGTAAGTTCTTAGTATAATTTTATTTTCAACTGTTAGCATAATTGTAGATTCATTATGATGAAATAAATTGTATATCTTGCCAATACTAAACACACTAAATAATAAAGCATTATGCAATCTAATCTTATAGTTTGTTGTGTTTTAATTTTTAATAAGATAATATTTTTTTATTTATTATGATTTATCCACACAGAATTTAATAGGTTTCTAAGGAGTGCACAGTGAATCAGTCATTGGATGGGTATGTAATTATAATTAAGATTTTATGATATATGTAAGGCATTCAGCTTACAGAATAGGCCTATAAAGTTCTATTTCTACTATTATTTTCTATGATTTTTTTTATCATTTTTTTTATTAAAAAATGAATTATGTTTTTACTTTTTTAATGCATTATAATAATTGTTTTAAAATATTTTGATTATATAGCTTGAAATAGATGATGGAAGAAACCTAACTGAAGGATTTTTACAAGAGGAATTACATCCAAAAATCAATTTACATCAGCCAAAATTCGCGAAACCTAAGGGTCCACCAAACAGAGGCGCAAAACGTTTAACCAAGGTTCAAGATTTAGGAACTTCGGAACAAGAGATTTAAAAAAATTATATTCAAATTATTTCAAATTTGTTGAGTTACACTAAAAATATATATGCATCACACATATAGAGATATATACAAACACAGATTGTGTTCTTATTAAAAAATGAATGTGTTGTGTTTTATCTTGCATTTTTCTTTTATTAAATAGTTTTATTTGTTTTATAATTTAAAAAATTTATATATAATTTTTTTAATTTCAAAAGAAAACAAATAGATTTTATTTACTTTATTTAATCAGGCCTATTCTGTAACTCAATATTTTATTCATTTACAATTTAATTGAGAGTATTATTAGAATGTAAATAAAAATTGTTTATGATTATGACTGATTATATTAGGACGTTTTTATATATTTTTTACAAGATAATAAGTTAGAAAGAAAACATAGATGAATTTATATCAATATGAAATTAGAAAGTTTGTTCTTTTTTTTTATGGAGAAGAATTATTCTGATCTATTCTGGTTTGAGTCTATTTATCATTGTCTATACAAAGAATTATTAAATAATAATTTATGATGTAATTATATAAATAATTATTAAAATTAATAGATATATATATTATTCCAATATATTAATTTGTTACTAAATTTTTATTTTTGAAATTACTCTTTTTGCTGTTTTTTTCCAAGTATATGATGTGTTTTCTGACTATATTCATGCAATTCTTTTAGTTTTAATTCTTCTTCCTGTATTATGTTCCTTGCATTTTCTTTTATTTTACTAAAATACAGAAATTAATTTTATTTATTAATATTTGGAACAAATAGAACTTTTTAATTTAAAATTTAAGTATTATATTGTATTTGCAAAAACTTACTTTCGTCTTGCATTCATTAGTTTTGATCCTGCTTCATAAAGATTATTCATATCAGTTTGAGTTATGAATAAAATGAATGATGTGATACAACCATATATAGCACCCATTATTGTTCCTAATAATGTTCCTGCAAATGCTCCTTTCAAACCCATATTCATTTTATATATAAAACCTGCTACAGCACCACTAAACATAGTATTTAATACATCAAATTTTTCTCTATATATAAGTAAGAATGCTGATACACTCCTAATGAAAAACATTATTTTAATTTATATTTATAATATTACAATAAAAAGAAAAAATTGTAAATATAACTCTTACGAGAACAAGAAACAAAAGAATCCAAGTTTTATGCCAAATGAAATACCTCCTTTTGTTAAAGCAAAGGCTACTTTATTTTGTACTTCACGATGGGCATAAAATTTATGTTCATATAAGGTAGCTTGATTTTCTCTTCTGTGAATTTCTGGAACATCTTTTGCTTTATTTATTCCACCCAAAAGAAATCCTGTTATAAAACCCAAGGACGTTGTATTATAGACTGATTGTAGTTCTTTGGTTGGATATCCTTTTCTGTTTAGAATAAACAATATACTAATTTGATTAAAAAGAGTAAGAAATAATAAATATGAATTAAATAATTATTCTTACTCGTCAAAAAAATAACCTTCATATTGTTTATAAATGCTTCTTTTCTTCTAAATAATTTTGTTAATTTTCCATTAGAATCATCATCAGATGAAGAATTAAATGGAAAAAATGCAGAACAGATCAATCTTCTGTTTATTATTGCACGTAACATGTTATTTATATATATATTCACTGCTATTTTTGTTATATGTTGTTTATGAATTGTAATGATAAACATGTAATTAATAAAATATATTATTAATTTATATTTTCATTTTATTAATAAAATTAATATTTTTATAAATTAAATTATACATTTAAATAACAGTGATTATGATTATTTTTACACTGAGAATATAAAGAACTTAGAAATTCGATTTTTGTGAATTTAAGAATCAATGATCGGAAAAATATGGAGATCTATACAGAGATCGTAACCATTTTTAAAAATCGATATTAGTAACGTATTCAAATTTTTCTAAATCATTGTTTTATATAAATAACACTAAAAAATATTTTTCAATATTATTTTTTCTTATCATGTTTCGTATTATATTTTAGAAAAATTTTATTATTATATATCTATTATATATCTATTATTTAAAATTTCATATTTTCATAAATTATTATATAATAATTAATTTTCTTTTTAGTAATTATTAAATAAAAAATAAAAAGATTGCAATTCTTATCATAATAATTAAATAAATTTAGATAATAATTAGATAATAATTAAATAAAATATCATTGTGAATAAGTATAATAGAAAATATAAAAAAATGAAGTAGTTTATATAAATATAATGTTTGTACCAAGTACAATCATTAATTTAATTATTTTTATATCATGAAAATTAGGATAATCTTTTTTTAAAAGGATGATAGTGGCGCCTCCAACTCAATGAAATTCATATCATATGAGTAACATTTTTCGCGCCTTTTTTATAATTCGCAAAATACTGAAAGTTGAAATTTCACATTTGACAGTAAAATCGATATTATTTGCAAAAGAAGTACATTTTCAAATATCATTATACAAATAAAGATTCTTTTATTCATACTCATTAGCAATAAAGATTTTATTATAAAATTTTTAAAATTATTTTCGTATTTTAGACATTTAAAATAAATAATATGAACAAGTACATTGGTGGATTTACTTACATGCGCCGGCGTACGATATCGTTTTGACGTAACAATATTACGTCAGAACGTGGTTTGCAGTACGCAAAAGGGATAGTACGCGTGGGTGTGTTGGAAAGGATTGCGAGGAGTGGAAGGGAAGCCATGGAGGAGGCGGAACGTCAATAGGAGAATCCTTTAGCTGTGTAGTGGGGAGAATGGATGAAGGTAGGGACAATCGTAGGGGCATTAGGGATAGAATCAGGGACGTAGTTATGAGTAGTTTAATAAGATTTTTTCGACTTTTTTTTTATTTTTATATCATTTGAGATTATGATTACTACGAATACAAATTCGCGCAAATGATTTACATGTAATAATATATGTAATAATCGCGTGCATAAGAATTTTTTTACACGATTTGCAATTGTGCAAATTTATATTTATTATAACCTAAATTTTCTAATTATTCTATCTTCTAATTTTAATAAATATTATTTATTTATATATTTATTAAAATTCTTTTGTTTGAATGCTTGCACTTTACAAATTCACTATTATTGTATCATGATATGATATATGTTAATTTAGATAATTTTGTTATAAAATAAAAAAAAATTTTCAAATGAATCTATAAGAATCAATTACTAAATTTTCTTTTTATTTTTATATATAAATATATTTTTTGATTTTTTATTAAAAATTTATTATCATTAGAAACAAAATGAATTTAAATAATCTATATTTTTAAATATTTAAAAATTTAATTTTTTTTTAATTTGTAAAAATAAATTGTAAATATGAGAAGATTCAAATAAATTTTAATTTTTAATATGAATTTATGAATAATATTCTTTTTCTTTTAATTTTAAAATAGATGATTCTATTATTTTATTTATTTTATTTATTGTTCTTTACAACACTATTGAAAATGTTACAACGCTAAAAGATGTAAAATGAATTTTATCTTGTATAGTTTTCAGAATATTCGATTTTGCAACTTAATAATTTAATAAATAAATTTATTTATCAGGTTAAAAACTCGATGACAAGTAATGTTTTTTTTTCATATTCTGTTTTCAACGAATTTAAAAGAATTTAAAAGACTTTTTTATAAAAATTTACAAAAAATATATTTAATTAAAAATTAACTATATTCAATTCTAATATTTAATATAATTTCATTTGAAAAAAAAATTTTCAAACAAAAACAAAATAATAAAATATAATTTTTATGTTATAGTTATTTTAATTTTAGTTATTTCATTAATGCAAATTTTAATTCATTTGCATGGAGAAGTTAATTTAAAATCTTACATTTTCATTCAATTATTTTTATTCAAAGCAACTAAACAAAGATATCCAAAGTCCCTAGGAAATATTTGGTTTCAAAATGTGATCAAAATAATTTTTGTTTTCTATCTATTCTTTTAAATTATATATTTCAAATATTGGATAATATAAAATTTGTTTAAATTGCAATATAATTTCATATTTTCTCCTTTAGTTTCATTATCTGAAAATCTAATTTTACCAAAAAATCATGATATTTTTTTATAAAGTTCTTGTGATCATCGATTAATTTTAATTAATCTTACAATCAAAATAAATCAAATCAAAAAATTATATATACACACACACACACACACACACACAACAAAATAAAGATATATGAATTTATAAATTTAAATATATAATTCTATCTAAATTATATATATGTATTTCATATTATATGTACTATATGAAGTTAAGTATTTTCGAAGCCACGATATGACAGGAGACTTATTCAACAAAAATAAATTGTCCTCTTTTGGGTATAGCGAAAACATGTCGTATTTTGAATTTCATGTTATCATTATATTACTTGTACTTTATATAAATTATTTTTAATAAACTGTGTTTAGAATAATGATTTTTATCAATTATTAATAAATTAATATTAATATATGCTAACGTTTAAAATTAGATTAACATTTTTTTTTCGAAAAATGAAAATTGTAAATATTAGTTTGTTTGCTTCTTGATTATATTTTTTTATTTTATATTTTATTATATTATATTATTATATATATTATTATATTTTATTATATTTTTTTTAAAATGATAAAAATATTTTTTTTAATTTTAATAATTATAAACTTTTTTGGACTTATTTCTTTCAAAGTGATTCCCTATTAAAATGAGTTTATCAATTAATTATTTATAAAATGATTTATAAGTTATATGTAAAATATTATGTTTTAAATAATAGTAGTAATTAAAAGATATTATTATGAACCAATAATAGAATAAATTTTATTTTTAGTCTTCTTAAAAAGATAAAAGAATGATTTCACAGATTGCTATTTATTTGTAGAAAAGATTTATAGAATATTTTAAGGTACAGGGCACTCCCGGGTATAGTACACTACCAAGTTTTATTGGTCTAAGAAGGAGAAACATGGTAAAGCATGGTAAAGCAGTGATGTAGCATTTGATAAGGTATTTTTAAAGGGGTGCTACTAATGGAATTAAACTACGCTACAATTACAAAACAATTATTTTCAATTTGAGAAATAATTGAAAAACTTAAATGTATGATTAAAGTATTGTTTTATAATTATAATAATGATAGATTCAATTCAGATTAAATTCAAATTAAAGAATCTTAATGAAATAAAGTTCAAGGATTTATGAAATTGAATCAACCAAATCAGTTAAATTAATAGAACAAGTTAAATAATCAATGTAATATTGATCCAATAGTTAAATAAATAACAATAGCAAAATTATCAAAATCAATGGAGCAAATTGAAAATAAGATCATTAGAATCAATATCCTTATAAATGGATTAATGAATCCAGAGTAACTAATGTAACTCATACCCATCACTGCAACATCATTTTCACCACCACCACCTTGATCAGGGTATTTCGTCGAGGGGTTGCTCAAGAGTGGGGAGATAGATGGTGGGATCAGGAGTATAGGGGTGGGACAGAGAGTAGCTAAAGCGAACAGAGAGAGAATCAAGCCGAGAGAGAACGTAGCTCCACGGAGCACCGCCACCCGTGTGTATCGCACTAAAATGTGACTCTGGCCAGCAGCACCGGGAGCCGTGTGAGCGCGAGCGCGAGAGCGAGAGAGAGTTGTGTGTGCCGGAATTTTCGTTAGTTTAGAAAGCAACAACTGCGTTTTTTCTCACTTTGTAACTAAGCCAGTAAGTCAATACTGTTTACCGCATATTTTGAAAAAACCAGAGAGAGAGAGAGAGAGAGAGAGAGAGAGAGAAGAGAGAGAGAGAAGAGAA